GGGCGCTGGGAGGTGGGGTGGGCGCGAGGAAGGAGAGTTCTGGGGAGGCCCAGTGAGGTATCGGGGTGTGTCGTGCGGGTGGGTGAACGCAGAGACGGGGGGTGCGCGCACGCCTGAGCCGAGCGCCCGCCCGCTCCCGTCCCCTCCAGGTCGTTCAAATGGGGCGAATCGGACCCGCTGCCTTACGCCGTGTACGGCCACGCGGTGCTCTCCCACATGGACCTTGTCTACGTCATTGGCGGCAAAGGCAGCGACAGGTGAGGCTCGGGCCGGGGTGAGTCTGCCCCAGCAGGGTTGTAGGTGGGAGAAGCAGAACCTGTCCGAGGTTGTCAGGGGTCGTCGGGCGGCCGGGGAGGGGCGGCCCTGCTTCCCTCCACTCACTCACTGCCCCCCACTGCACAGGAAGTGCCTCAACAGGTTGTGCGTCTATGACCCCAAGAAGTTCGAGTGGAAGGAGCTGGCACCCATGCAGACCGCCCGCTCACTCTTTGGGGCCACCGTCCATGATGGGCGCATTTTTGTGGCGGCCGGGGTCACCGACACAGGGCTGACCAGTTCGGCAGAGGTGTACAGCATCGCAGACAACAAGTACGACCGCTTGCCTGCCACGCCCTCCCCGTCCCGCCCCCGACAGTCGTGTGGCTTTGGGCCTATGTCAGCCCTTTCTATGTCTGCCCTGGTAGGAGCCATAGCCCCTGTCTTGGGTTTGACATCAGCTGATGAATTTTGACATCAACACAGAAATAGTCACCCCACCTTGATCAGGAGAGGAGGGCTTCCCACACAAGGTGGGGCAAGGGTATGGCCAGCCTGGTCTGCAGGAGGGAGCTCCCAGGGAAAGGGGAGGGGATGCCAGGTTCCTAGTTCAGGCACTCATAGCAGGCACTGGCCTGGTGCTAGGGATACAGCGGTGAACCAGACAGAAGCTGCCCTGCTTGGGAAGTCGGGAAAGAGAAGACTTAGCTGACCAAGTGAAGGTTCTGTTGGACTCAGTGAGCAAAAAGGGTGAGGGTGGGTGGGAGAAGGATGCCCCAGGCAAAGGGAAGTTGGTGCCAAAGGCTGTTTGTTGCTCAGGCTGGATGGAGCATGGGGGTGAAAGGAGGTGGGGTGACAGTGCTGGGGCTGGAGATGTGACAAGCAGGGCTGAAGGACTTTATCCTGAGGGCAAAGAAACGCTTCCAGTGGATTTTAAGCTCTCATCTGTGTTTTATTGAGATGCCTCATGTCAGCTGATGTAGAGAGCAGGTTAGGGATTTCCTAGGAGGCAGGGAATTTGGGGGTGTAGCTGTGGCAAGAGGTGATGGAGGCCTGGAGCTGGGGGTACAGGAGGGCTGGGGCCGAGGGGATGCGCTGGAGAAAGGCCTAGGCCAGCGCTCTTCACGCTTAATGTGCATATCAGTCTCCTAGGGATCATGTTCAAATGCAGATTCTGATTCTCAGGTATGGAGAGAGACCTGAGAGTCTGTATTTCTAACAACCCCTCAGGTGATGCTGATGCTGATGCTGCTGGTCCATGAACCACACTTTGAGTAGCAAGAGTTTAGGAGATGGAAGAAAATAGGGTTTAGCAACTGATGGGATGTTTGGGGTGAGAGGGAAAAGTGGATGCTTTCAAGTGAGGTGGAAGGCATTTATAGGGGAACCATTGGGGTTAGGCAGGAAAAGTGAAGGTCCAGCTAGGACATGTGGATTTGAGGTGCCTGGGGGTGTCCAGAGAGAGCCCACTGGGGCAGAGAGAGGATCAAGGTAGAGGGAGAGGTTGGGGGTCAACACCTGGAGGGGACAGGCTTCCTCAGGAGAGAGGGTAGATGCGGGAGGAGCTGAGGCCCAAGCCCTGAGGGCTGGTGGGGGCAGATCCATAACCCAGGAAGGAGTGTGAGGAGGTGGGAAGGGAGAGGCAGGAGGTGAAGAAAGTCCCATCAGCGGTGGCATGAGCTGTGGGCCCTGCAGTGGGCGAGGACCTCCGTGAGAGCAGTTTTGGAGGGTGGGGACGGAGGCCCAACTACAGGAGCTAGGGAGTGAAGACACCTTGAGAATAACTGGGCTGTGAAGGGAGAATGAGGCTAGAGCAGGAGTGCAAGGGGACGGGGGCATAAATGGCCACTGAGGAGTGAGAGGACTGTGCCTCGGATGATGCTGGGGACCTGATGGGGCCCGGAGACCTGAGTTAGTTCAGGACAGAAAGAGGGACACTGGGGAGATCCATGCTGGCCTTTGCTGGGCAGGTGGGTGGAATAGCATGGGTACAAGAAAGAGAAAGAGGAGCAAGAGAATGAGAAGGAAGTGAAGCCCAGAAGGAAAGGGAAGGGGACATGGTTGGGATGCTCTGAAGGACGCTCTGCAGGTGGGAGCTCCCAGGGGCCGGGTAGGGGATGCCAGGTTCATCCTGGGACAGAAGCAACAGGCAGACACTCCTGAGAGGGTTGGAGAACAGGAGGTTGTGCCGGGAGTGTGGGAACCTGGGATTCGGATTTCAAAGGGGTGCCACTGAAGCTGTGGGCGTGGGGTGGCAGGGACAGCCACTGGGCTTGCTGAGGCCCCTGGGTGATGCACTTCCTCATGCCCCCCCAGGTGGGCCCCCTTTGAGGCCTTCCCACAGGAGCGCAGCTCGCTCAGCCTGGTCAGCCTGGCAGGCACACTCTATGCCATTGGTGGCTTTGCCACTCTGGAGACCGAGTCCGGAGAACTGGTCCCCACGGAACTCAACGACATTTGGAGGTGAGCCCGGCCCCAGAGAGGCGAATGGGGAATCATGAGCAAGGCTGACACTCCCTAACCCCGTGGCTGGGCACCGAGGTGCCTGGCAAGCTCATCTGGGGGCAAAGCTGATCCCTCTTCCAGGGAGTCCAGTGGGGAAGGAACGGTGAACACACCCTGCTTAGCCTGTTTCTGGCCAGTTTGTTTAGGAAAGTCTGGGTTTACACACATGGCACCATGCCCCACTGTGGAGTGTCAACAGTGTCACAGACAGGAGCTGACCCCCAGCTTAGGGCACAGACCCACAGAAACTGAGCCCAGGTAGCAGCCAGGCCTTCCATCTTCCCTGCCTCTGGGTGCTTGTTCTTGAGGGAGAGCTGAGGCTAGGGCTGGAAGTAGTTGGACCCCAGCTTCTCAGAGCCATTGCTTTCCATGGCTGGTCCTTCATGGGAATGGAGGAAAGAGGCTTCATTGGGGCATCCCCTGAGCTTTCAGTCATCCTCACTACTTCAGGCAGCCTCTAGGGAGCAGCACTGCTGGGAAAGTGGGACTTGGGGGGACTTCTTGGGTGATGAGTATGGAAATTCTCAAGAGGAGGGAATTGGTGTGTGGGGGGTGCAGGCCTTCCTGGAGGGAGTAGACTTTTAGTATTGTGAGGATCCTTGAGAGGTGGTCTTTTACCCAGGGAGGGTGGCCCTTCCTGGGGTGTGGGGTGGGTGTTCTTTGGGGGAAGGTCTTGTAGGGGTCCCCTTTCCCAAAGCATGGGAATTTTCTAGGAGCAGATCTACCTAGAGATGGGGGGGCACTTCCGGGAGATGGGCCTAATAAACGCAGCCACCCCTCTGCTGGGTCCCACTTGGGACTTGGCTGACCAAGCTCCCCATCCTTGGACTCACTCTCCCCCACCCCCAGGTATAACGAGGATGAGAAGAAGTGGGAGGGCGTCTTGCGGGAGATCGCCTACGCGGCCGGTGCCACCTTCCTTCCTGTGAGGCTCAATGTGCTGCGCCTGACCAAGATGTGACCAGCCCAGAGGCTTGAATTCAGCACCCTCCCATCCTGTGGCCCTCACACGTCTGGCCTTGTGGGGGCTCCAGGTAGGAGGCTGGAAGAGGCCAGAGCCCACCTGAATCCTGTCATGGTGCCAAGGGGCTGCTTCAGCCAGGGAAGAGAAATCGCTGCCCAGGCCTAGCCTTTTAGGCGGGGATGAGAAATTTGAGGCCTGTCCAGTGTCACCCTATCCCCCTGGGTGTTCTTGCTCCAGGAACCAGATCCACAGGGAGGTGTCCCAGGCTGCATCCTGGCCCTGCCCCAGCCTGGTAGTGTGAGCTGGGTAAGTTTCTTACAGGACTCTGTCTCCCTGCCTGTGAGATGGGAGTGTCCCCATCAAGCTCACTTTGCTGCATGGATAAATCTCCTTCTTTAAGAAGAATAAAGTGCCTTCCGAGCAAGCCACTCAGGGTCTGGAATCAGGTGCTCCAAGAGTCAGTAACCAGGTGGTTTGAAGATTCAGCCTTCAGTGTTCTGCTGTTGGGTTGCCAAAGTCGGTGGTCTCTGCCCTCCATGTGGTTATCTCCTCCACACTGTGTGTGACCCTTTCTCTGAGGCCTAGAACCTCCAGTTCCTCATCCAGCATGAGAGCCAGGAGACTGCTGGGAGAAGGGGCAGGGAACAGCCAAGCCATGGTAGAAAAGTCTTTTATTCTATCAGTCAGGCCTCATCTGGCCCAGCCTGGGCCTGGGCCCCAGGAATAGCTGAGCAGAGCCCATCCCTCTACCCACTTCCACCTATTCCAGCTTCTCTTTGTCCTGCTCCTGCTCCTCCTCCAGTGCCAGGGTTCGCTCACGCTCCTTCACCAGCTGGACGCCACAGTAGGTGACAAACAGGATGGCCATTGTTGTCTGGGGGAACCCTGTGTGGGGATGAAGTCACCAATGCCTAGAGCAGCACCCCATCCTCAATGACTCCTCTTCCCAGTGCTCTCCCTACTTGACTGGCCCTCCCAGAAGCATTGCTGGGGTGTTGGGGTGCGGTAGGGGGCATTTCAGAAGGCCACGGTCCTCAAGGTTGATGCTTGGCACCTTCAGTATCCCCACACCCCTGTCCCTCACCTGTGAGTAGCAGGCGCTGAGCGACCAGTTCTGTGAACTCGAGGCTGTTCAGGCTCACAAGGTTGTACATGATGATGGCCCAGAAGTTCATGGCCCCAAAGAGAGCCCGGACCCTGCGGGACATCTGCTCTGACAGAGAGGCCTGCCAGGTCCAGGAAAGCATTGGCAGTGGGGCAGGAGGCCCAAAAGGAAAGAGGAGATGGTTGCTCAGTGGCCTTGCCCACATGGCCACTCAGGTTATGGGGATATGCCTGGGTCTCTGGGAGTCCCAGGCCAGCTCTCCCTTGTTAAACATGGGAAAACTGAGGTCCAGAGAGAGGGGAAGTCCTGCCCAACACAGCCAGGCCCTGGTGCTCCATGTTCCACAGAAGGTAGGGAGGGCCGGATTCCCACAGGTTGAGCCACTGCACTGACAACCTTAAGGTTGGTGGTGAGAAAATTCTCAGCTGGGGGCAGTAGTGCCATCCCTCCCATGACGCAGCCCATCCAGCCCCAGCCCTTCCTTCCTCACCTCAATTTGTGCTAGGGGCCCCCACTCTGCCACCTTCTGCACCCAGAGCTCAAAGTTGAGGCCAAAGCAGTTAAGGAATGACCACAGGTAGACAATGTCACAAGGTCCGAGCCACAGAGTGGTGATGGCAAATGTGGCCACTGTGGCCCCCAGTTCTGGGATCACCGTGGAGTGCTCCCCACCAATGTGGTCATACACGTATCTGCAGGAAAGATGGGAGAAGGGGCCGATGGGAATGTGGGAAAGGGCAGGTATGAGATGGGGAGAAGATACACACAGGGGCAGCCCTCAACACCACCACCCTGAGTGCGTTCAACATTCCCAACCTCAGATGTCTGCTTCTTCTCCTCTCCCCAGTTTCAAATTTGTGGAGAGCTCAGCCTCCAACTTCATGTCTTCTCTAGCTATGTTCATTCACTCCCCAAACGATCTCATCCAGACCCAAGATTGAATACTCTCTCTATGCTGATAACCCCCAAATCTGTCTTTAGTTCAGTCTCTCTCCTGATTTGTATGTCCAGCTGCTACAAGATGTTTCATTGGAATGACTGATTGGCCCAGCCCTGCCCAAACCTGTTCCATCCCATCTCAGTTAATGGCTCCACCATCCATCCAGTTGCTCAGGCTATAAAAGCCTTGGCGCTATCTTGGATTCTCAAGATCCCTTATCACCCACATCCAAGCCAGCAAATCCTATTAGCTCTGCTCAGTCCTGACCACTGCTCCCCACCTCCACCACCACCCTGGTCCAGGTGATCATCTCTGCTCACATAGGTTATTGCAAGAGCCTCTTAAGTCATCTTCCTGCTTCTGCCTGTTCCTACAGTCCATTCTTCACACAGCAGCCAGAGGCATCTTTTATGAGTATAGCTCAGGTCATACCACTTCCACGATTAACCCCCATCAATAGCTTCCCATTACTATTAGAATAAACTAACTTGCTTACAATGGCTAGAAGATCCCCTGCAGCCTGGCTCTGCCTCCCTCGGTGACCTCCTCGCCCACCACTCTGCCCCTTATTCACTGTGCTGGCCTTATGAGCTTTTCTGGCCTTCAGACACACACAGCTGGTGTGTGCTCAAGGCCTTTGCACTTGTTCCTTCTACCTGGGATTCCCTTCCCCGGATATCCTTATCACTTGTCTCAGTTCAAATATCATCCAGAGAAGCCCGCCCAGACCCCACCAAAAGAAGCTGCTACCCTGTGGTCAACTTCTATCCCATTACACTGTTCTATTTTCCTCATAACACTTACCACTCTCTAAAATTATCTTATTTATGTTTGTTTACCTGTTTATGGTCTGTTTCTCCCCACTAGTCTGTAAGCTCCATGAGTGCAGGGTCTTTGCCATGTTCACTGCTGAATCCCCAGTGCCTAGAACAGTGGCCTGGCACATAGCGGGTGCTCAATAAATATACGTTAAATAATTTCTGTGGAAGACCCACTGAATAACTGGCCTCTCCGTTCCTTGACCTCCTTATTGCTAACAATTTCTTCTCCACTCCACCTCAGCCGCCCACTCCCAGGGCCACACCCCAACTTTGTCACCACTCGAAATTTCCCTCCTGCCTAATTCCCACTCTTTGCCCAGCTCCTCCCGACCTTCTGGCCTCCCAGCTTCAGTTCTGCAGTCCCACTGATCCTGTGACTCTCCCATCTTCACTATCCTCCTTAACAGGCTTATATTGAATGAATCATTACTATAAATAACCTAAAAATTCTTATCTCTCACTTCTTCCTTCTCACCCACCTAGAAGAGTCCAGTCACCTACTTTCTCCACATCTGCACCCAAGCAGCTAATCCCTGATGGGGAGAATCTCACCTCCTCACATACTGGAGCCCATAAACTTGCTACCTCCAACCCCACCTGGGCTCTCGACACCAAGGTTTCTCTTGTCAGCTTTTCTCCCGTGCTCTGCAATGACTGCTGCACCCTTCTCTCTCCCGCAGCTGTGACTGGGTGTGGTGGGGGATCCAGGCGGGCGGGGGACGGAGGCACAGACGCCGCCTCCCTCCATGCCCTCAACCCTGCATCTCTCAGCTGATGGCCTTGCCTCCTAGTTCACAGAGAAGACCAAAGCCTTCCATTGGAATCCCTTACTTTTCTACACTAACCTGCCTTCCTTCTGCATCTACAGTGGCTTCTCTTCTCCTCCCAAAGCCAATGCCACACCTGCTTCCTCCTCAGGGACATCACTCCATTAATCACCTGTCTATCCTGCATCACCATCTTCTCTGTTGAATAATTCCCCTCAGCACCAGGCACGTCCCAGTATCTCCCATCTTTATAACACCCCACTTCTCCCTCAGCCACTCCTCTGTCGTTCCCCTTCAGTCCCAGGCCTCTTCCAGGAGTCGTCCACACACTCCCCTGTAGTTCCTCAGTTTCCTTTCACTCCTCACCTGCCCCTGCCTCTCCAGTGAAAGGCTCAAACCTCCTGGTCACAACACTAATCCTCCGTCTCCAGCTTCTTTGGTCCCCAGCAGTGTCTCACCTAGCTGCCCCCACCATGCCTAGATGGTCCTCCCTTGCTTTCCAGGGTGCCAGATGGCCTTGATTCTTCCCCCGTTGCTCTGATCACTCCTTTCAGTGCCTTCTGGCTCTTCCTTCTCTCTCCCACCAGAACCCTCGCAGGCTCAATCCCAGCCATCCTCCTCTCTCCTCTTCTCACTCTACTCTATCCCCATGGGACTTCTGCTCTGATCACTCCTTTCAGTGCCTTCTGGCTCTTCCTTCTCTCTCCCACCAGAACCCTCGTAGGCTCAATCCCAGCCATCCTCCTCTCTCCTCTTCTCACTCTACTCTATCCCCATGGGACTTATCCACTCCAAGGCCTACAGACCACCCACCCACACTCATGATGCTGAGTTCCATCAGTCCTCCAGACTTCTCTGAACCTCAGACCCAACTGCCTCCCCGAATCTCCCAAGGATGTCGCCTAGATTCCAACCAGACATTTCTCAAACTGAACCCCCTCTGGAAACACCCCTTCCATCTTCCTAGACTGCAGAAAGGAATCTGGGAGTCACCTTCCTCTCCTTCCCGATACCCCCACTCCACAGCCAAGTCCTGTCCAGGCCGCCTGCTGTGTGCTTCTACTCCCACCTCCACTCTCCACCTCCAGGGCCCTCACCCACATCCAAACCTCTATGTCTTTCACCTAGACCTCTGCCAGAACCTGCTCACTGCCCTCCTTTCTTCCTCTGGCCCAGGGATGATCTTTAAAAATGTGGACCAATCTCAGCAATGTCCTGCTCAGACACCTAGCAGGATGTCTGTGACCATTTCCTCCTGCCCCCAACTCACTTGCAAAGCCAGTCGTTGATGCCCCGGTCGAAGTGCCTGTGGAGGGAGAGCAGATGGGTGTGATCTGCCAGGTACAGGGCTCCTGGGGCATGGGGAAGAGGCAAAGGGAAGGCGGGATCCCGGGGACGAGCCTCCCTGGTGGCACTCACGTTTCCGCGAAGACGTAGAGCGCAGTAATGCACTTGGGAGGCTGCGGCGGGTCCAGGTGGTCGAGGCGCGCCACGGTGTTGACGACGCCGAAGAGGACAGCCGCCTTCACCCAGTCGTACACCAGGTTTGAATAGGCTAGGCCAGCTGGGGACAGGGTGCCATCATTGCCTGGGATGCATCTCATCGGCCTCCCTTGGAAATCCCCAAATCTTGCTCCGAGCCCAGTCCTCCCTCAGGGACACTTTCTCTCCCCAGGTCCTGGGGGAGGTCCTTGCTCTTGGACTTGCCCCAATGGAGGTGCCGCCCTGCCACTTCCTAGGGGAGGCACCGGGCCCAGTCTGCCCCATGGAGTCCCCGTCCAGGTTGTGGGAATCAGCCACAGCCACAGCCCCAGTGAAGTGGGGCGGGCTGGGTGGGACACTGCTCCACCTCCGGGCACAGCTTAGCTAAGTAGGGCGCATTTCAGAGTGAGGCCCCACTCCCCAGCACAGTAGGCGCCGTGCCCATGGGGCCTCAGCTTCCGCAGCTGTGAAGCGCTGGGAGTGCAGAGGGTCTGTCTTTCTGGGGTGGCAGCCCAGCCCCCATCCCCGTTCTAGAGACCCACCCAGGGCGCTGTCCGAGAGGCGGTTGGCGAACTTGAGGTCTCTGGGGATGGTGAGGATGTAGAAGAAATGAAAGAAGATGTCCACAGCCACTATGGCTACCACGCTGAAGCCCGCCTGGGCCCGGATGCGCCACAGCTCGCCCTCACGCCTCACTGGCTCCACCTGGCTCACCTGCGGGATGCCGAGTGTCTGAGGGGGGAGGCAAGCCTTGCCAGAGGAGCCCCTCTGAGGTGCGGTCACCAACTGCCTGGGGTGGGAGGAGCCACGGCTTCATCCAGGAGTCCTGCCTGAGGCTGGAGACAGACCACTCTGGAGTCTGGGGAGGGTTGACAGCCAGCCAGGGGAGACCCAGTTCTGCTCTGGAAGCGCCATTTGATCGGGAGGGAAACATCCATGGTTTAAGAGCCCTGTCTGAGGGAGGAGACATGTCTCTACCCTGTGATCCCTGTTGGAGGGGGAATGTGGACCCCTCCTGGGGTCTGAGGAGGGAGGGCAGACATGCCTTTATCCTGGAATCATGCCCGAGCATGGGGATGCAGCCTGCTGGGAAGTTCTGAGATGGGAGCCACTGGCCGAAAGGGAGATTCAGCCATGTTCTCGGAGCCCACAGGGTCTCCCCTCACCTGGGCATGAAAGCGATCAAAGGTCATGATGGGCCCAAAGAAGAAGAAAGGCAGGTAGAAGTTGTACTTGAGCAGGTCAGCTAGGGAGTAGTGGCGATCAGGGTGCACACAGCTCTCCAGCGCAAAGCTGGTACAACGCAGCACTGTGAAGCCGCTGCCTCCGTGAAACAGCACCTCTTGAAGATCAAAAGTGCCTGTTACAAACCCGCTCTGGAGGGGAGAGAACAGGCCACCAGCTCACCAGGATGCCCGCCATCTCTGGGAAAAGCCCCCCAGCTTCCCACAGGGGCCCAGCCTGGTCCTGACTCTTCTCATCCAGAGCCAGTTAACACTGGGCATTGCTCTATCCCAGCAATGTGATAGAGTGAGGGATGAACTGGAGATGTCCCTGCCACAATGCAGGTGACTGACCACCTTGTGTACAGGCCATACACAAAGGCTTGAAGACAGGTGGGAAAGGGAAGGAAATGCTTGGGGATTCTTAGGGATACTTTGAATGAAGTGAGAGGTTTAGGATCCTAACCTGGCACCCTCCACCCCAGTGCATACCTGCCAAGAGATTAGGGGGTCCATCTTGAAGGAGGCCAGACTGGCCAGGCCAAGGCCAAGACAGAGCCAGGGCTGGCCCAAGAGTGAGGCCACATAGAAGCCCACACAGTGACCAAGCAGCAGCAGCAGGTACCAAGGGCCCATTGTGCCCAACACGGCCAGGGCTCCATACACAGCATACATCCAGGAGCGGAGCTGTGGACAGCGATATAAGGCCTCAGTTTACTTATCCATACAAATGGGGGTGGGACCCTGGTATGGATTTCCCACAATTCTTGTGGCTAACAAGGAGCTGGAAGGGGGATGTTGAGTAGCCCATGTCTAGCTCACCTGGGGGGCAACCATCGTGCAGAGTTTAGCAAACAGCACATGTCCAGAGAGGGCAAAGATGATGATGTTGCGGAAGGAGGTAAACCACATCACCCACTCAAAGTCAGCCACGTCCTGGGCAGGTGGGGGTGGAAGGAGGAAGGGCAGGTTAGGGTGGGGGAGGTGCTGGTTGACTGGCACCTGGGTTGATCAGAGCCCCAGCACCTTTCCAGCCCCCATGTTCTCCTTCTGCATTAGATGAGAACAGTGGCTGCAGGTCCCTGCATTCCCCTCCCAGGTAGGGACCCAGGCCGATAGGTAGAGAGGAATGAGAGCACAGCATGGGCTGCCCTGGCCCTCAAAGCTCCTCCTCTACTCAGCACACTGCCTGACATCCCACCATTACTGCTCTGTTCTTGGGAAGGGTGGTGCTGGAGGCCCCTGCTGAAGCACATCTTGACTCATGGGACCCATTTCCTAAATGAGCAGAGCCTGGGCTGGCTTGATGTCCCAGGAGGACATACAAGGGGCCAGTGGAGAGCTGAAGGTGGTGAAGCTCAAGCCAGAGACCCTCTTGCTGTGAACCCTCTGTTACAAGAGAACATCTGGAATAGTGGAGGGTGCGGCAGGGTTTCAGAGGGGAGAGATTTGCTAGAGGTCAGGGACCCCAGGCAGGGACCCCAGGCTGTGGGGGACCTACCATCTTCCGGCCAATGTACTCCCAGCCAGGTCGCACAGACTCCCGGAAGGCCTTCCTGTGGGCCCCATCTGAGAACAGAGGGTGGTCTCAGGGGAAGGTACCTTTCACATCCCCTCCCCTGCCTGCTCCCACGGACAAGGCTGCCCCCTACCCTGGGGAGAAGGGAGCTGGTCAGGGTCTCTCTCTTTCTGTGTCTGTTTCTCTCTGGATCTCTCTGTGTATCTGGGTCCAGGTCTCTGACTGTATCCCTGAGTATCTGAGTATCTACCCCTGTGTATGGCTCTGTGTCCATGTCTCTGTCAGTGTCTCTGCATCTCTGTGTCCCTGTGACTGTGCCTTGCTCAGCCCAATTCTCAGAGCCTAGGGAATACCCTGGATTTGGAACCTCTAAGTTTCTGGCCTTGCTGGTGGGAATCCTGAGGGCCCCAGGGCAAGAAGGGTCCCACTCCCCTGCCCCGGGGCCCAGCTGTTACCTCGTGAAGCCTCGAGGAGGCCCCGGCCAGCATAGGCCAGGGCCCCACTCAGTACCAGGGAGTAGAGGCCCAGCTCAGCTGCAGGCAACGCTGTCTTGATGCCCATAGCCTGGACAGGGCTGGGAAAGAGGTTGGGTGAGGGAACTGCAGCCTGCAGCACTGCCCAGTCCCACCTCGTGGTTACACTGGGGTGGTGGGGACCCCACACTGAAGAATGACTGCCCCACCTGTCCTTTGGGGACCTTGTGCCATCCCTCTCCCTGCCTCTGTGTGCCCCTCTCTTTCCAGGCTGCCCAATACCCGGTGCCCCATCCTAGCTGCTGCTCTGGTTCCACCCCACCAACTAAAGCCTCTTGAAAGCATAGTCTTCACTCAGCCTGCCTTCCTTGCCTTCATTTACTCCTTTATACCTTTTGGATGGGCTGCTCCCCACCCTATGCCAAGGCCCTTCATGACCTTCATGTGGAGACATCCTATCTACATCACCTCAATCAGGTTTCTGGCCCCCAGAGTCCCCATACCCCTCAGTGAGCCTCCCTCAGCTCCTGATAAAGCTCCATCCCTGTCCAAGACCCCTTCTCTGACTCCCCCTCCCCTTCCTGAACTGCTGTTACTTTCCTGAAGGAAAGAATCCTGTGACTTCCCCAGGTCCTGCCCCTAGCACCAAGCTTCCACCTTTCTCACTGAGCCTCCAGCCTGTCACTGACTTCCATTCCCACAATGAGCCCCTGAGCTGGAGCCTGCCTCATCCCCAGTCCTGCCTGTGTCTGTGACCACACTGTCCCACTCTCTCAGTGCTCTGTGTATTCAGGCCCCGGATGCTGGCTGGAGGCTGTGCTATTTGAGGAGGTGCCCTGGAGGAACGGATGTGCGGCCAGGCAGGGCCAGGAGTGCAAGGGGGAGGGTCTGGCTGCTGTCCAGGGTGCTGACCGGTATCAGGCCCAGGGCAAGCCTAGACACTCCCTCCTGCCAGGGCCTAGTTTGTCCCCAGGAGTCCTGCTGGGCCATCCCTGGGGTCTCAGCTAGCACCTATGTCCCTCCCACCATGCTTTAGCTTGGCCCAAGGTCTTCCCAAGGGCTCCGTGGGTACAGACTCAGGGCCCAAATTAAAGGGAGGGACTAGACTAAAGAGGGTCTAGGTGCCCTCTTGGGTTGAGCTGGCCCAAGAGATGGCTGGTATGGCCCTGTCTTCCACCCTAAATCCTCCCAGGAGAGCCTTGCAGCCAGCTCTCCTGGGCCCCCACAGTCGACATACTCCCCATTATACAGATGAAGTGGTCAAGAACCAGAAAAGGGCAGGGACCGTCAAGGTCACACAGTGAACCTGGGACAGGCATCTGTCTGCCTCCCCTCAGGACCAGCAAACTCCTCTGGAGTTGAAGATAAGAGAAGACCATCTCTGCCACTGCCCATGCCAGGGGCTGCCACCTGACTTCTGCACTGCCACCTGAGGGCCGAGGAACCTCCTTACCAGCTGGGTGGGGGTAGGGAGGCCCTGGGGATCAGGTTAATGGAGCAGGAGCTTGAAACCGGAGCATGGTGAAGAGCCCGCGAAATAGCTTTGTCAGCTGCCTCCCACTCGGCACTTTCCAATTTTAGCTCCCCATGGCCGGTGCAGGGCGTCCCCAGTGAGGCCTCTGTGAGGAGCTGGCCCCCAGCCTGGGGCCTCTTCTGATAGACCCCCGGACCTGGGCCAGCCTGTGGACACAAGGGTGTCCCCTTTCCCCTGGTCCTGCCTGCCTCAGGTGCACCTGGAGTAAACCCACTTTGGGGCCTGTGATCTGGGATGAGGGGCCTGTCCTGGGCCCCTCAGGTCTTAAGGGACCCAGAGTGGCTGCTTCCCCAGCTGGCACTGACCTTGAAGAGGCTGTGAGGCACCCTGGCACACTGCCTACCTCCTGGCTCCAGGGTCCTGTGTCCACCTGCGCGTCCGTCCGGCCAGCCGAGTTCTGGGGCCACGGTGGGGTGTGTCCTGGGGTCCCCACCCCTTCGAGGCTATGAGCGGTGAGTGGCGAAGTGACAGTGGGAAGAGGAGGGGGAGGAGGGCAGGGAGGAGGTGGCCTTCCTGGAGCAGAGCTAAGTGGAGTGGAGCAGAGCCGAGTGCTGCAGAGCTGCTGGCCGCAGGGAGCCACACGGAGGACAGGGGGAGGGAGGATGGGGGGTGTAGTGGGGAGGAAGGGGTGGCCGCTAACATAGGCTCAGACAGGGACACCTGGCCCTCACTTCAGCCTGCCTTTTCTGGCCCCTAGAGAGCCTGTGCCTCCCTCTCACTGCTAGCCAGGACTCCCCTCTTCCAGGAAGCCTTCCGGGTGGCCCCTCCAGCCTCTCTAGGCTTTAAGCCCTGCCCCCACCACAAAGCCACACACACACACACACACACACACACACACACTCTTTCATATCTCGGCTCCATGGACTCCCGAGGGCTGTCTCAGGGCAGACCCATCGAGTCTCCTGCCCTGACCCTTTTCATCATGCTGAGAGTCCTGGCTGACCAGGTATAAGTACCTGAGGGAGGACTGACTTGCCTAGTGGGACTGGAACTGGCATGGTACGTGTGGCTAAGAGGGACCCCATACCCTAGCCCTTTCCCATAGGGAGTTGTCCAATTGGAAGGATGCACGGTCACTTGGCAAGGCTTGAGTGGGTACTTGGAGTGGCTGGCATCCTCTCGATGGCAGAGTGGAGGCAGACAGGAAGACAGGAATATTCCTAATCAGCCAGGGTTCCAGGGGCAAGGCAGGGCCCTCACTCTGGGATGGGGCAGCCAAGCCCTCAGCCCTAGCTACGTAACGGGGAGGGGTACCCTGAAACATACCCCCAGCCCCTGAGAGGTTAGGAACCTCTTATAGTCCCCCTTTAGTATGAGGCCCCCAGAGTCTTGGGGAGCCGTATGTGTTCGGGCCATATCTATGGGGGCCTGTTCATGTATGTGCTGGGAGGAAGCATCTGGAGGGTAGAAGGGACTTTGTGACTGTAATCAGTGACAAGACAGCTCCTGGAGCCCCTGCTGATCCCAACTCCAGCCACAGGGTCAGCTGAGGAGGGGGAGGAAGGTGCTGAGCAAGTCCTGGGAAGGGAACAGAGACTACACTTAGGCAGTGAGCTTCCTCCTGAGTGTACAGACTGTCTAGGCTGGCCCAGAGGCAGCAGCAAGGACAGCCCAACACACCCCACGCAGAATGACACAGAGACCCGTATCAGTGGTCCCTGACTCTGAGAAGCATGAATGGTGCCTATTGCATGGTTTGGGGGCTGGGTCAGGGCTGTGGTTGGGATCATGGGCACTAGAGGTTAGAGTCGGGGAGGGAAGGGTACCTGAGCCAAGCAGTGTCCTCGCCTCTCAGAGGTGGAGTCAGCGATTGTTAGGAGTAAGTTAATCACGGTAGCCAGCATGTACATGGATTAACTCTTTAATGTCACTCTAACCCACAGGGAAGGTGTTGCCGTTATCCCCAGTTGGGAGAAGAGGAAACTGATGTACAAGGAGGTTAAGTAGTCAGGTTAGCCCCATAAGCTTCTGGAACTGATTGCCCTGCAGGGGCGAGAACCCAGATCACCCACACCATGGCTGGCTGAGACCGGCCCAGGCCGGCCATCCACCTGGTGCCCTCGTGAGGCTCGAAGAGAATGGTTCAAGGAAGTAGACAGGGTGGTTTGGCCCCAGGCCAACTGACTTGAGCCTGAGCTTCACCGCTGGTGTGATCCACTTCTCTGGGCCTCAGCTCCTCATTTGTAAAGTGGGCATACTGCTGGCTCTGGCCTCATTGCATTCTGGGGAGATCTAGTGACTCACTCTATGACAAGGGCCTGGCTCATTGAATTGCTTATAAAGAGAGGCTGGTGGAGAGCCACAGACCCCAGACTCCAGAAGCCCAGAGAGGTGGGACTCACACACAACAGCAAGATGTTCCCTGGGTGCCCCCAACACAGTGGGATCTGCAGGGAGTTTTGCATGTGGGGATGGCAAGAAGGGTGGAGGGCTAGGGAGCCCCTTAGACCTGGGGCTGGAGAGCCCTAGGCAGCTCTTCCAGGTGAGGGGTGGCAGAGGGGAGGGTGTGTGGCATGGCCAGCCCACAAAATGAGGGGCAGGAAGTGACTGGGCTAAAACCAGCATAAGGACCTGGGGTCAGCTTCTCAAATGCCATAAGGGCTGGCCACTGGGAAAGATGTGGTGGAGAGGGGGCCAATTCTCTCAAACCTAAGAGTCCCTTTTCATTTCAATTTTGTAAAATTGAGAAAGTAAAAACATGAAGAAAGTGTTCTGTGTGTGCATGTGTGTTTGTGTGTGATTGTGTTCTGTATCAGTTGTGTGTGGGGTCTGCATGTATATGTTTTGTATTATGTGTCTGTGTATCCTGTGTGAGTTGTGTGTGCATGTATGCTGTGTGTGTCATGTGGTGCCTGAATGTGTGATGTGTGTATTGTGTGTGTGTATAAGTGTGTTGTGTGTATATGCAAGGCTCAGGGACTAGGAGACATAGAGTATGTGAAGGCACTTGCGGAGAGGGGGTGGCAGGCAGAGACTTGGTGCTAACAGCTGTCCGTGGGTTTGCTGGGGAACGAAGGGAGGAGAGGCTGGTTCTGGCCACTGGTCGTGGGGGGCCCAGAGGAGCACCCGTGCTGGATAGAGTATGTGAAGGCACTTGCGGAGAGGGGGTGGCAGGCAGAGACTTGGTGCTAACAGCTGTCCGTGGGTTTGCTGGGGAACGAAGGGAGGAGAGGCTGGTTCTGGCCACTGGTCGTGGGGGGCCCAGAGGAGCACCCGTGCTGGAGGCCTCCCTGCTCTGGGCTCCTGGGGGCAGGGGAGGGGCCAGTGGCAATGGAATGTGTTTGAGTCAGCCTGAGCCAGGCTGCAACCTTGCCCAGCTCAGCTGTGGTGCACCAGAGGCTCCCTTGGGGACAGTGGCCAAAACACATCCATGTCACCTCACCTGTCAGTGCTAGAACTTGAGTACCCAGACCCACAGCACCTGCCTGGGTGTGGCCAGGGAGAGTCCTCATGGCCAGGTCACTCCACCACTTGCTTCTGTACTTGCCCCTGCCCCTTGACCCTCCATGGCACTTGCACTCTCCCCGCCAACTACTGCCTTGTGGTCTGGGTAGGGACCTTGGTTATCCAGCCCACCTGTTGCCCATCTGCTTGAGGGACAGGGAGATCATCCTCAGGATGGGAGGGCCACAGGCACCAATCTGGACAGACCGGCCTGCCCTACTCCACACCTGGCCCACCTAGGTTAGATCCCTCAAAGCCCCAGTCCTTGGCCCTTTTGAAAACCCCATCTCCCTTAAAAATCCTTTCCCCAGGGTCTCCTGTGCTTTTTCCTGCCCCTTTATCTCAGGGAGATGTGAAGGACACATGGCTCCCTGACAGCCCCTCCCCCACCCAGATCTGGGAACGGAGCCTGGGAGCTGCAGCAGGGATGAGGGTGGGGGTTGGGGGAGTCTCTGTGGTGCTGAAGTCTGTCTGTATATCCTTCCCCCACCCCTCGGCCTCATCATGGCCCTCCGTTTCCCACGCCTCTCTGACTGGACTGGGAGCTCCCTGAGAGAAGGAAGAAGGCAGATTCACCTCCAGGCCACTCCCAGGCCTGGAGAGGTTGGCATGCAGCTGTCACTCACTCACTACCCAGTGGTGGACTGGCTGAATGAATGGTGACCTGTGATGAGTCCCTCTCCCCAGCTGGCCTGGGAGTTCCTGGAGATCAGGACCTCCATACTAGGGCAGAGGAGCTGCTCAACAAGTATTTGTTGAACTAATAGAGGGAATACTAAGAGCTAATGTTTATTGAGTGCTTACTGTGTGCCAGCAGCTGCTCTAAGCACGTGACACTTTTAAACTCTAAAACTGAAGAAGGTTCTAATGAGGGAATGGAGCAGACCTAGTCAAACTAGGCTGGGGGTGCTGGTGGCAGGCCTCAGCAGATGTGACAGGGACCAAGCAAAGCTCTCAAGGTTGCCTGTAGAATGTGTAAATTGAAACACTTATCTTTGTATCCATAGCTGGCCTAAGCCAGGACTGAATGCCCTGACTGACCACACTGCAAGATGCCAGCTAATCAGTTTACCCAAAAAAGGTGCATAGAAGATTTACTGTGCCTGGCTTTAAAGTTTTTATCCTCCCTCTCTCTTATATAAATCCTGTTTTTATCATTGTGGGATGAAATCAGTCTAAGGGGACATGTCCTTGTACAGAAGTAAACAGGGAGCTAGTAATTAGCTAAATGTCTTTGGGTTATTCTTTGACATTTGTAACAGCCCTCTGAGGGAGGCTTCTATTATTGTCCCCATTTTATAGATGAAGATATTGAGGCTCTGGGAGGTTAAATAACTTACCCAAGGCTACACAGCTGGCAAGTGGGGAAAGAAATCTGCCCCGGGTACCTCCACCTGTCCAGACCCTGTCACCTGATGCTTGTTGCTTTCTCAGACCCAGCCCTGGGCCTGGAGTGGTCAGGGTGTGGATCACACCCCCCTGCACTTCCCTGAGGTAGCCCTGAGGAAGGATGGCAGGTCCTGTGGCTGCTTCTGACTCTCAAGAGACTCCACTGAGGACCAGAGCCTCTACCCCTACACACTCAGATCACCCTCTGGGTCTCCCCAGTCCTGCAGGAGAAGGTGCTGGCTACTCAGCTGGTGTTCAGAGTTTGCGTTTGGCCACTCTTTGCCTGATGGCCTTCGCTCCCCCTTTCTATGGGGTCTCTGGATCTGGGTTATCCCATACAGGGGCAGAAGCTCTGAGCTGGTGTCAGCCCAGGGCCCCTCCACAGCCCCACCCCTGAACAAGGGCCTGAACAGACAGGCTCCCAGGAGCCCCAGGTGGCTTTTCCTGGGGGAGGGGATGTTTCACAGTATGTGCACTTGCGTTTGTTTGTCACTGCACAAACAACACACAAGTGACTGTCTTCATACGTAAGAATGTGTCCACATTCACAGGCATGCATGCTCACCGGTGCCTGCGTGCGTGTGCACACGTGCTTCCGTGTGCAGTTGCCTGCTCCTGAATCTCGTCATTTGTGTGCAACTGCATCTTTGTGAGGGCTTGTGTGTGCACAGGTGTGGCCAGAGTGTCTGGGGTTAGGGTGTGTGGCTATAGGTGACCCTCCTTGGGGCCACCCCTCCCTATGGCTGTGGCTACAGCCAAAAGGGGGTGACACTGAGACAGTCACAGGACTGGGGGCTCCTAAGGCCCCCCTGCAGCAGCCCTCCCAGCTCATCATGGTGAGGGGACACACCGTACCTTCACCTGGACCCACTGCCTCAAACCTTTCTTCCCAAAGCCCCAGCCCAGCCCCACTTCTGCCCTCTGCCCCCAACACCCACCAGCGTTAGCCTTTTGGGAGCAGGAGGAGGTGCCTCTTGGAGCAGCTGGCTGGGGCAGAGCTGTCCAGCAGTGGGGTTGGCACACCTGCCCTGGGGTAATCTGCTCAACTGGAGGACTCTGCATTTGGAGTCAGGCAGACCAGAATTAAATATTAGCTCAGCTTCTTTCTGCGAGCCCAGTTTCTTCATCTGTAAAATAGGGCGACAATCCCCTGGGTTATTAGAGGACTAGATGGGGTCAGGTTTCCATAGCAGACGTGCACTCATTGTGAACTGCGGTGATTATGAAAACAGTAATTATTGTTACAAGTCTGAGGCTCTGCATCTGAGGAAGAGCCGTGAGGAGTGGACCAACGCAGTGGCTGATAGCATGGTGCCCCAAGTCTGTGGCGGGTGGGAATGGCCACAGAAGGGGTGTGGTGGCGGGGTGGGCCTGGGTGACCTGGTGGATGTGCCCAGTCTGCAGCAGTGCGGGCTCTCCTGCATGTATGGAACCACGTGGGCATGCAGGGGTCCCCAGCTAGTCCCTGGCACCGGGGTGATGAGCACTTGCCCGAGAGACCGCATCTTCTGTTTACAACTGGCTTGTTGTCCCAGAGCTCTCACTGATGTCAATGGGCTGCTCAGCCTCCTGCCCTGCCATAGCCGGGGTCTCCTCAGCACTGCACCACGGCTTCTCCTTGGCCCTCGTGGCCTGAGATGTTGCCTTTGGTCACCCTTAAGGAGCCTCTTCGAGAGAAGAGGCCGAGCTGGCTGCCCTGGACTGGCTTCTGGAGCAGACGGAGTCCTCAGACAGAGCCTTGTCCTCTCAAGACCTGAGGCTGCCCTGCCTGCCCAGGCTGGCACTGGGCCACCATCCTAGTGCTTGTCCGCCTTCTGCTGCCGTAGGGCCTGCAGGAAGACACCTTTCACCTGGCCCAGGGTCTCGTGGTACATACGGAAATCTTCCTCCTTTCCCCGCAGGGCACTGTCCAGGGCATCCTTCAGCATTTTGTTCTCCTCCACCTGAATGGCCAGCCTGGACCACATGGAGACAGCACTCAGTGTGGCCCGAGCTGGCACACACGTGTGCATGGCTATACAGAGGACCCTGGGAGTGGGGCTGCCAGCATGGCTGCCCTTCAGGCTCAGGGTTCTCTCTGACTCATCCCTTCCTCCCACAGACCCTTGGGGAAATACCATGAGGGATTCCTCTCTGGGTCCCCCAGTAGCTCCCAACAATGTCAGCTGCCTCAAAGATGAGTATGAATTTGTAGAAGTTCCGCTTCTTTCCTTTCCCATTGCTGCGTTTGATACTAAAATGTTTAACTGAGTGAGAAAAGTGGGTTCAGCAACCCATGCTTGACAAAACTTCTCGAGGGACTATAACGTCATCAGGGTCATGGTTGGGCCCCTCTGCCCTCTGAAATCCAGTCCCTGAATTGCAGGCCTAGAACGCAAGACCAAGCAGGACCAGCCTTCCAGGTAAACAGAAGTCAAAGGTACAAGGGGGAGGGACACAGTCCCTCTGCCCATGGAAGCTCCTCCTCCCAGACAACTCTACCCTTTCATGAAGATGGGGCAGGGTAGCCTTCCAGGTAAACAGAAGTCAAAGGTACAAGGGGGAGGGACACAGTTCCTCTGCCCATGGAAGCTCCTCCTCCCAGACAACTCTACCCTTTCATGAAGATGGGGCAGGGAAGCACCTGGTGGTCAGCTCCTCCATCTGGGGTTCCACAGGCACACTGGACAGCTGGGCAGAGGAGGGGTCCTTCTTCTCACTCCCAGTCGGGTTGTGCCTGGCATTGGAGGGGGGCAGGCCTGTGGGGCAGTAGCAGCACTTTCTGTGATGGGGCCACAGCCCTGTGCTAACCCTCTCCTTCTCCTCCCCCCATTGCCCACCTCCTGCTTTTCCAGTTGGTGAAACATTACACCTCCTTCAGGGCACAGGACCACGGCCACCTCCCGCCAGAAGCCCTACACGATGCCTACTCTGCAATCCCCTGACCCTGGCTTTGGTCTCTGCTACAGCACTGACTCTGCCTGCTTTGTAGCCGCGAGGTTCCTCACCTCACCATCCCCATCTTTACACTTTGCAAGTTTCTGCTAATTTGTTTCCAACAAGAGAAGTCAGCTGGGCCTGAGGTCTGGCCTGCGGGTTGAGCGGAAGTCTAGGCTGTCACTGTATCTGATGCCCTCACACCCCGGGTCCCCTCACCAGTCCCCAACCAGGCCAGCAGCTTCATACTAGGAAGCAGGGGATCCAGGATGGCTGGGGTCAGGGGTCACAGAATGCTCAGAAAAAGAAGACCCCAAGTTATGGAGAACTTGGGCAAAATCACAGCATCAGAAAACCTCTGTGCTGAAAAGGCCCTTAGGGGTGGTGTGGCCCACAGGAAATCATCTGGCATCAGCAGACTGGGCTTTCACACCCTGCTGTGTGGCCTCGGGTGAACCACCAGCCTCTCCGAGCTGGTTTCCTCACCTGTAAAATGAGGATAATAGTTTTTGCTTCCAGAACTTCGTGAGGCCTGAATGAATCCACATTTGGCCCTCAAGAGCCTGTGATCAGACCACCTCCTTGGTACCTCACGACTTCCCTGACGCCACCTTGTACTCCCGTCCCTGTCTCTCCACTCCAGCCTCACTGCCTCCGTGCTGCTCCTCAGCCTGCAGCCGGGCTCCCTCCACAGTGCCTTTGCACTTGCTCCTCCCTCAGGGCTTGGCATGCCTCGTCCCCTACCCTGTCCTCCATCTCTGCTCAGATGTCTGTGTCCCTCATGAAGTGGAACTGCCATGGGCGACTGAATTGCCGAATCCAGTCTCTTCATTTTACAGATTGGCTGGGGAGTAGGGGGAAGGTGGTGGTGCTATGCTCCCCAGAGGGGTAGTATTTGGCTCATGTCACAGGCCAGCAGGTGGCCGAGGCCACATGGACACTTTCTCTCAGGCAGTTTCCCCTCAGTGCCCACGCAGGACCAAAGTGGTCTTCCTGCCATGGCTTAGCTCTCCTTGGCTGGTAGTCTGGCTGCCCAGCAGGAGGACAACCTGAGGCCTGGAGCCACCACACTCCTAGAGGGCTTATTCCTGAGGGCCCAGGAGGATCCTCAGGCCTAAGCCTCAGGGACCTTTCCCAGCTTGGATTCCCAGTAGCTCCCGGAAGGCTCCCTGGTGACAGAAGTCCTGGGCTTGCTGGTGACAGAAGAGTGAGCAGGTGCCCCAAACCCCCCTTTGAACGCTCTACTTTTGGCATGTCCTTCTGAAACATTCTGACCTTATCTGGGCTGAGCACTGGGAACAAGGGTCCGAGTGTCATTGGCTGGGGGAGGGGTGGGAGGAGTACTGGGGTGCTGAGAGATGGTGCAGTGAGGGCAGCAGCACCTCTGCTCCAGAGCCTGGAAGGGGTTGGGGCAGAGATGTCTGAGGGAGGCTGGCCTGGCCCCCCACCTCCTCTGAAAAGTCTTTCTCCCCGGGAGTCAGCCATCCCAGATATGGTTTCTGGCTCTGGCATCCTGTGCCCCCAGCTCGTCCCACCCCCACAAGATGCTGATGCTGCTGGTCTGGAGACCACCTTGCTTGAGAACCAGTGTGTTAGAGCAATAGACCTTTTAGTTAAGGACAGCATTTCCCAGCTTCCCTATGCAGCTGGGTGTGTTCCTGCATCTAGGATCTGACCAGTGGGATAAGTGCAGAAGTGCCACATGCAACCTCCAAGGGTAAGGAGCTGGCTGTCTCCTTCCCTTCTCCCCTTCCCGCTGCTGGTGGGGGTAAGCTCAAGCTGCCACCACAGACCACAAGATGGAAGCTGCATGTTGAGGACGGTGGAGCCACCAGACAGAAGGAGCGTGAGTCCCCATGCTTGTGGAGAAGCAACTTCAGCCCTGCGTGTATAAGCTTGACTGCTGCAAGGGACTCCTGCAGAAAGGGTCTCCTCTTCCCCTTTCAGCCACTGCTGCTTTGGCCTTCCCAGCAGACCAGCTCTGCCCAGTGAGCAACTTTGAGCAAAGTCAGCGCAAAACAGAGGACTGAAGGTTGGGGTGGGGGTGGCAGATGAGGTGGTGGTTGGGCCAAGGCCACATGGGCCAGTGGAGCTCTGGGGCTCCTGGTTCTGAATGGGAGGTCAGGGGAAGAGGACACCCAGCAGTAGGGGCAGGTGGAGCTCCACCTTGCTGGAGGCTCTGCTTCCCACACTTTCACTGATGGGGCTGAATAGTGCAGCTGACGACTGGCTCCTCCATCAACCCACCCCCACACTGGGACCCCTGCCCAGGCCCCTACCTGTTTTGTTCCTGGCGGCTGCTCTCTGCGGGGCCGACGCCCTTCCGGGCTCTAGGCGCATCTTTTCCAGATGCTGCTCCAGCACCACGGTGCGATGCCGCTCCTCCTGCAGCTTCCTCTCTGACTCCAGGAGCTTGCTGCTGCTCTCCTCCACCCTGGTGATTAGAGAGGAGGGGATGCCACACCCCTTGGCAGGCAGGGGCAGCCCCCACCCTTCCTTCTCAGGCTCTTAGAAAGGTGCGCACATCCTTACATTGGTGGTCATAGGACTTGTTCTTTATTTTCTTTGCAGGAACACAGGAACGTGCATTTAAAAATCACATAGTTCTCTCCACAACTTAAAATGAAAAAATTGGTAGCCCCTCCCCAGCCCCATCACTCTCAATTCCTGCTCTCCAGAAGCAACCACGCATAACACTTTTAGCTGTTTCTTTGAATATTTCCTATCATATTTCTAAAGACACTTATGCTGCTATTTTTTTAAGGTTTAAATATAATGTTTTGATTTCCTGTCATGCAAAGTAAGAATTTAGTTTTATTTTAGTACTCTCTCCTTACCAAACAGAATCACCTCTCCACTTTTTGGCTGAAATAATATTAGGTGGTGTATTAATTTTCTATTGTTGTTATAACAAATTACCACAAACTTAGCAGCTTAAAACAACATAAATTTATTCTCACAGTTCTGTAAGTCAAAAGTCTGGCAGGCTCGGTTTTTCTTCTCCAGGATCAGCAAGCTGAAATTAAGGTGTCAGCTGACCTGGGCTCTTATCTGGAGGTTGTGGGGGAGGATTTGTTTCCAAGCCCAATCAGGGTATTGGCAGAATCCACTTCCAGGTAGTTGAAGGACTGAGGTCCCTGCTTCCTGTTGGCTGGGGATTATTTTCTGCTTCTAGTGGCCACCCTGCCCACTCTGTCTTCAAAGCCAGCTGGATATCCCTACATGCTTTGAATCCCTCTGGCCTCTCTGACATCTTCTGCAGTATCTCTCTGAATGACCCCAGATGGAGAAATTTCTCTGCTTTTAAGGGCTCAAGTGATTAGATTGGACCCACCCGATAATCTAGGATAATCTTCCTATTTTAGGGTCCATAATGATAATTACATCTGCAAAGTCCTTTTGCCATGTAACATAAAGCATTCACAGGCATAATAGCAGGGAGCAAAGGGCATGGAGGCCAAAATCCTGTCTACCATAGTGGGTACATTAGTACAATTATCCAGTGAGACATATAGTGCACTTATGTTTATGTATTCTTTCTTATTTAGTTGTTTGCTTTTCCTGGAGTTAGTGATTTCTGTCTGTTTATTGTTTTGTTTTCTATATGCCTATCATGAATTCACGGGCTTGAAGACCTTGTTATGTGGTTATTTCCCATGAAGGATTTGTTTAATCTCACTGGGGCTTGGGCTTAGGTTCTTCCTGTGGCTAGGTATGGCATTTCAGACTTCTGTGGGCTTGAAGACCTTGTTATGTGGTTATTTCCCATGAAGGATTTGTTCAATCTCACTGGGGCTTGGGCTTAGGTTCTTCCTGTGGCTAGGTATGGCATTTCAGACTTCTGTGATACTAAAGACTCTGCTAGAAGCTCAGGACTTCCTGTGATCTAACCCAAGCAAAGGATTACATACACACCTGCAAATCAGAGTGGCAGCCTTGAAATTTAGAGTGTTGGAGGAAGTGGTCTTTTTCACCTTGGTGAAAGGTCAAAAGGGAACAGAACGGTAACAATTTTGAACAGTATAAAACTACTAACACAGTGCACAGCTAGTAACATAACATGTTTAAGCATGTTCTTTGAAACTTTATTTGCAAAAGCAAAAACCAAAAACAACCTGAAGGCTCATCAACAGGAGAAAGACAAATAAGTGGTGACATATTTGTACTATGGAATATGACAGAGTATGATAGAGCTGTGCTGTCCCACACAGTGGCTGCCAGCCTTATGTCCACATGTAGCTAATAGAGTTGAAACAACTTGGAAGGCTGTTGAGGGAAAGTTTTGAGGCTTTGAGTGAATTTTTGCTTCAGAGAGTTTAAGGTACGGGAAAATTCAGTCCAAAAAAAAAAAAAAAAAAGATGTAGTCTGAGCTTATAAATTGCCTTAAATAAAAGTAGAGACACAGATTCCCTTTAAAAAAATTAAAATTAATGAAAACTAAATAAAATTAAAAATTTGGTCCTCAGTCACACTAGCCACACTTCAGGTTCTCAAAAGCCATATGTGGCAAATGACTACTGCATTGGTCAGCACAGATATAGAACATCTCCATCATCACAAAAGTTCTACTGGGCAGCACCACTCTAGCATTGAAAAAGAATGAGGTAGAGCTGTGTGTACAAACATGATCATCTCCAAGTCATAGGACTGGTGAAAAAAAGCAAGTGCCACAAGAGTACATACAGTATAATGCCATTTATGTAAAAAAAAAGTCACTAAATAACAAATTTCCACGCCTACCTACCTGTGTCTATAAATGTATGAACAAGGCCACACCCAGATAATAGGATGAGGTGAGATGAAGAGCAAGACTTGGTACTGATATCCAAATTAACTCCACCTGTTGTTTGTAGTGGTAACAAGGAGACTCCGGCCCTGTACCTGAATTAATAGAAGTTAATAAGAAGACTGAGGCACTGTCCCTCTGTGAGTTGTCAGTCGGAGGCCAGTGAGTGGTAAAAAGGTGAATCTGCTTCTCCTCATCTGCCTGGCCTGTTGGAAGGAAGGTGGCTGGAGCCATTCAAGATGATTGAGCAGAGATGGCCCCTGGAGCTGATATCCTGGGCCCCAAGGCTCAGTCTCCCTGAAAATATGCCAAATATGAGGACTGACACAACTGCCTGGTGCAGTTAGGTGGGGTGGGGGAGAGTGGCATGAATCCTTTTCATCCACAACTGTCCTGCTTAAAACACTCCTGGTCTCTACAGCTCTCATGTAGAATGACCTTCACGGTGTCTCAGCTGTGGCTGTGACCCTTCCTCAGAGGGCCCCAGTCCTGAGAGAAGGCCACATTACTCCATCATTCATTCATCCATTCACTCATTCATGAAACATGTCCTGACTTCCCACGGGTACCGGGCACTGCTCTAGGTGCCCATTCTCATGGAACTTTCTGCCTTGCAGGAGAGAAAAACAATCAAGAAACAAACATATATATAATATAAAGGAGGGGCAGAACTCTTAAAATACTTTAGTAAATTCTCAGTGAGATTTGAAAAATATTGTAAAAAAGCTGTGAGAAAGAGCTCTTAAAACTATTTTTAAAAAAGCATTTCTGAACTTAATCATCAGAAACACTGAAAAATAAAATGATCCTGATGAAATTCAAATCAGTGATCTTGAAGATAAACTGTGGGAATTGTCCCAGAACACAGAGTAAAATAATGCAAATAAATGGCAGCTATTAGAGAACAGGTAAGAGACATGGAGGATAGGGCCAGAGGATCTCATATCCAAACAACGGGAATTCAAGAAAGAGAGGAGAAAGTAGAGTAGAAGCAATTGTGAGAAAAGAATAAAATTTCCCTGAATTAAAGAAACACCTGAGTTTTTCAGATCAACAGATCTCAGTGGGTACCAGGTGGGATTACAAAAAAAGGCATACCCTGCTATGGTTTGAATGTGTCCCTCAAAGTTCATGTGTTGGAAACTAAATCCCAAATGCAAATGCTGGGAGGTAGGACCTTTAAGAGGCGACAAATTAAATAATGAATGGATTAATGCCATTATCTCAGGAGTGGGTTAGTTATCACAGTAGATTCTTCCCCTCTCCCCTCCTATGCATGCATGTGTGTTCTCTTGCCCTTCAGACTTCTGCCATAAGATGATACAGCAAGAAGGCCATCACTAGATGGTGGCCCCTTGATGTTGAACTTCCCAGCTTCTAGAACTGTGAGTAATAAATTTATTTTCTTTATAAATTACCCAGTCTGTGGTATTCTGTTACAGCAACACAAGATGGACTAAAACACAACCTTAGACACAGCTGGGTGACATACCTGAACTCCAGGATAAGAAAACAAAAATCTTATAACAACAATACAGCTAACTCTTTTTTGAGTACTTTCCATGTGCCAGGTACTATGTTAAGGTACTCTGTAAGCATTATTTATTTTATTCTCTAAACAATCAAGAGGATGTACTAACATTTCAAAAGGAGACATAAAATGTGAACTTTAAAAAAGGTTGTCAAAGATCTACCTCCAAAAAAGACATCAGGATAAGACAGATTCCCAGGAAAGTTCTATTTAACCTCCAAGGCACTGATCACTCTTGTTATTCTGACTATTCCACAATATAGAAAAACAGAAAAAGAAAAGAAATATTTAAATTATGGGCATTCTAGAAGGATAGGAAAGCAAAAAATATACTGAAACCCTATTTAATGAAATAATAGCTGAGGCCTTCCCCACTCTTAGGAAAGATACATACATCCAAATCCAGGAAGCTCAAAGGTCCCCAAATAGATTCAACCCAAACAGGTCATCTCCAAGACAGATGGTAGTCAAACTATCCAAAGTTAAAGACAAGTAGAGAGTTCTAAAAATAGCAAGAGAAAAACATCAAGTCACTTATAAGGGAATCCCCATTAGACTAACAGCAGACTTCTCAGCAGAAACTTTACATGGCAGGAGACAATGGATGATACCTTCAAAGTACTTAAAGAAAAAAAAAAAAAACACAAAAAACCTGCCAACCAAGAATATTATACCCAGAAAAGCTATCCTTCAGAAATAAAGGAGAAATAAAATCTTTCTCAGACAAACAAAAATTAAGAGAATTCATCACCACCAGAACAGCCTTAACAAGAAATGCTTAGGGGAGTCCTACATGTAGAAGAGAAAGAACAATAACAACCATCATGAAAATGCCTGAAAATATAAAACTTACTGGTAGGGTAGATATACATATTAGAAAGAGAAAGGAATACAGAAAACCACCAAACCACAAGGATAAACAACAAGAGAGGAAGAAAGGAACGAAGCGTACACAAAACAATCAGAAAACAACTAACAAAATGACAGGAGTAAGACCAAGCATATCAATAATAACTTTGAATGTAAATGTATAAATGCCCTGATTAAAAGACATAGACTGGCTAAATGAATGAAAAAACATGACCAATCGATATGCTGCCTACAAGAAACACACCT